TTTTTTTTTTTTGGATTAATTATTATGCCATTTTTATACATGGAAGCAGCAATCTGTCACCCAGAATTACACAGCAGGCCACCCAGGCTCCATGCTTTCTATTGTCCTGAGGTAAATCAGTGTGACTTGCAGAGGAGCATGCCACCCTGCCCTGATGGCCTGGCACTCCCCCGTCACAGTCCACACGGTGTCCACAGCTCCTCTCTTCTAACCCTGAGAGGGTCCTGAAAGAGAATCTGTCCAGGAATGCCACAGCCCCGCAGCTACCTGGCTTCCCAAAGAGCGGAGGTGAAGTAGCACTTTGCTTTTGAATACCCCGTGGTGTCGAACTGGAATTGCAGCCTGCTCCTGTTTTCAGAGGCCTCCTTGGTAAGAGAATGTGTTTTATCTGCAGATACAATGACTGTCCCCCCGTACCCTGCAGTTCCCATGAAACCCTTGCCAAAGCCCATGAATGCTGGCTTTATGAATTGGTCTTGCAGGTGTTCGGGGGGTATGTAATCACTAATGAATAGTCCAGAAACATACAAACTCCGCAGCCCCTGGCACGGAGAGCTGCCCAGCTTTACAATTCTGTGAGAAAACACACATCGCGAGAGAAGCTTTCCCTGGGCTCCAGCATTGCCTGAGGCCAAGTATTCCCCCCCAGTCTGTCTCCGGGCTGGTGGCACTTTCTAGAAAGGAAAGGATTTGAAGTCACCCTGTGGGCTGGGAAGTGTGTGTTACTTACAAAATTTCCCTACCCTGATATGCTGCAAGCGTTGCTTTAGCTTAGGGTTCCATCTTTATGTACAGGTCATTTATACAACCCAACAGGCTAGACTGACGTGTGACCTGAGGAGTCAAAAGATCCAGACTCAGGTGGACTGGCCGCCCTGAAAGAGGAAACACAGAGAGGTCAAGGCCAAATCACCTCAGGAGATCAGTATCTACCCTTGAGAAAGGGAAACTGGAGTCAAGGAAAAGTGAGAATACAGAGTGGATAAGTGGCGGGGAGGGGAGGCTGGGAAAGAGACTCCCTGTGATGAATGAACACATCAGAGGAGGTCTGCTGAATGACCTTTCTGAGAAAAGCTAGCTGAAGATCAAGGGTGGTAGAGAGAGGACCCAGTGAGCACACCCAGCATGTCCTGGGCCCTGGAAAAAGCAAGGCTGACATGCCCCGTGAGATGTTAGCCATTCTTCTTATTTCAAGACTGAGACAATGTGTAGCTCAGCTCTCCAGCCCTCCTGGGAGCTGCACAGCACTGAGGGGCCTTGCTGAGAGAGATGCGGTGTCTCTGGTGCCACGAAGGACAGTGAGAGCTCCATCCCTGGCCACGGCAGATTGAAAACACACCACAGGATATTGGAAGAGGATGGGAGCCCGCCATAGGAAAAGCAGGCCACTGGTCCTCCCCCAGCTGGGATCCGCCAGGATCACAGACATGACCGCCCCTAGCTGAGTTACTTAGCATTATGACCAATTCACATGTGGCATCTTATTTCCATTAATGTCTAACTGAGATGAAGTCTTGAATTAGGAACGGATGTGACCAACCACAGTATGTTATAGCTGCTGTATGTGTCTTAAAGTATGGATTATAGTCAGCACTCCTGTGAAATTATGGTAGCCATCAAGCCTGTAATAGATGTAGTTATTATCTTAATAGACACATACACATTTCTATATAAAATCGTTTTTTTTTAATATTTGATGACTACATCTAGTACAATTGATTCTACTTTGAAGTGTTATGTAGCCTATTTTGTTCGTTAAAAAAAAAAAAAAACCATACTTAGGAGAATGTCTCTCTGGCCTCCCAAACAGGTTAGGAACCTGGTGTCTAGAGTCATGTGTTTTCAATGTGTATCTATTATACAGGCAAGATATTTCTATAAGATGCAGTAAGGAAGTAAGGAAATGTGTCCTTGCAGATCTTACTCAAGTAAAAAATGCATGGCCTTTTAAGAAAGCAATACAATTATATATATATATAATTTACTCCTGGATACTTAGCTTATATCTGTGAAAATACTGACACCAAAAAGAAAAAAAAAAGCAAAATAAAACCAAACAAACAAAAAAGCCCAACCACAACAAAAGAACAGATGGGCAGGCATTATTTATAGTATACGAAAGAGACACAGAGAATGCCTGTTTGCTAAGAAGATGGTTGGAAATGAGAATATTCCACACAGTGGAACATTATACAGTGGGGAAAAAGGATGGGCCAGTGTTCCAGAATATGTCTTTGTGAGATTTCCAGTTAGTGCCATTAAATGATAAAAGCAGCAGGAACGTTATGCAACTGTGTCCACTTAATAAAGATGTGCTAAGATCTTATGTGATTTGTACGTAATGGTGTGAGGGCATAATTAAATGAGCACAGGGAAAGAGATATAGAAAGAGGTTCACAGTTCCTTCAGAGGAGGAGGTGAAACTGATGGAGAAGAACCTGAAAGTCAGAGGAGCCATGTAGAAACAGAAGCAAGACCACTCATCAGCAACAAAAGATACCTCTGCTGGGGTTGAGATAAAATTGTGGTTTTGGGTTGCAAAAGAAAGATCTATAACATAGATAAATGCAGAGTGGGTCTGCTGTGACATTAACAATGTTAACTTGCTGTTAAGCCTCTGAGGTGTTTTTTTAAAATTTCTTTGCTGCAGACTAATCCTTAACACCTCAGCAGCTTGTCGGGGAACTTAGATAAATCATAATGGCCAAAGTAGCTTTATTTTAAAAGTGGTTATTTTCCATTTTGATACAAGCAACTCACTCACCCATCCATCTCTTCTTTCCCAGAGGAACACAAATACCAAGGTCTCTGAAGAAAGAAGGAGAGAGAGAGGGAGAGAGAGAGGGAGAGAGACAGGAAGGGGTTAGTATCCATGAGCACACTTGCTGCTCGTTTGTCCAGTTGTTGGTGAATGCCCAGCATGTACTTTGCCCGTGTGCAGTATGTCACAGACACCCACGACACAGGCTTCCAGAGTCACAAGTAGGGCTCCACTTGTTACACCTCTCAAGGTCACATGAGAGGAACCGAGACTCCGGCCAGGCGCCGTCCTGCCTGGTGACCTAGAGGCTGAGGAATCTGATCAGGCCACTTTGTGGTGCTGTCCACTCCAGCGACTGCCCATCAGTGTCTGTTCCAAAGACCAAAAGAGAACAAAAGAAGTGAGCAGCCAGCAGCTTTCAGCCCGCTCTCATCCAGCTCCACCACGCCTTTATGTCTTCGCCTACTCAAATCTATTCCAGGAGCCAGGAGCCAGAGGACAGAGTGTCTTTAAACACCGAGTGAAGGATGAAGAATAATTCTGGGCATACTGAATTTCCTTGTTCATCTGTTTCATGTGTGTGTGTGTATGTGTGTGTGTGTGTGTGTGTGTGCACATGCGGGTGTGCGCACTCGCTCGAGTGTGTTTGGATATGTGTACCTGCACATGTGTGTGGGTGTGCTCACAAATGTGGAGGTCTGAGGTTGAAACTGGAAATCCTCTGCCGCAGCTCTCCTACCTGATTCATTGAGGTAGGTTTCTCAGTCAAAACCAGAGAGAGCTCTCTTGCTTGTCAGCTTGTTCTGGGGACCTCTTGTTTCCTTCTTCTGAGGCAGAAATGACAGTGGGGGTTACCACACCCACCTGGTGCTTTATGTGGGTTTCTGAGGATATGAACGCTGGTCCTCACTTTTATATCACTAGCATTTTAACCACCCAGGCATCCCCAGGACTCAATGGTGAGTAACAGCCACTAACAGCTAACCACAGTCCCCTACAGTCAGTGACACAAGATTCAAAATGCCTCCTTCCATCTATGAATTTCCAGTAAAGATAAAGAACACACTGACGGAGGTCGGAAGCACAGTGCAGTAACTTGTCAACGATGAGCCGGCGTTTTAGAGAAAACAGGTTGTCAAAGATTATTGCTGTTTTAGTCATTGACACTGAGACAAATACTCAAGAGAAGCCCACTTGTGGGGAGGAAATGCGTGTTTGGGTTTATGGTTTCAGGGGAGTTCAGTTCGGAGGGGTTAGCCTGCTTCACTGCTTCCGGCCTGTGGCAAAGCAGGACACCACGGTAGCACGAGTGTATATTGACCAACGTTGTCCACCTCCTGGCAACTGGGACGCACGGTGTGTATGAGGCAGCACAAGGTTTATCCTTCTAGGACACGTTCCCAAATAGGCCTGGGATAGTGCTGTCACCTTAACAGAACCCTGGATCCCCTCAGGGATCAGGCTCTGCGCGTTCCTATGGGGCATTATCTTGATTACTTTAAAGTAGGGTATGGAGACCTGCCCACTGTGGGTGGCACTATTCCCTGGCTGGCAGAGATATTCTTATAACTTCACATTTTTATATTTTGCTTACAGCCTATTTAAATATACTCATTTCATTGAGCCATTCAGATAAAATTTTTAAATATGATATTTCATGTTCTTCAAAACTTGATGTGCACTTCATACATAGGCACACAGAAGAAATCTGACCCAGGACTGACCTCATCTCAAGAAGTAGCCATTGAGGCTGGTAGGTTAGAGATAGGAGAGCAAGGCTATAAGTAGCATCCACAAGGTGATATCGCCTTCAGAAAAGGAAACCGTTACAGATGTGTTTCGCTGGAAATGCAGCAGAGAACACCCACTCAGACCCTGCATTGAACCCCAGAGCCAGATCTTGAGGTTCTGTCAGAGCAGAGGCCTAGTGGGTCAGGAGCCAGCATCTGGTTGTCCTTAACAGCCAACAAGGCTTGGGGAGGTTATGGAGAATCTCGCCTCTAAGATGGAGGCATGAGCAGACATCTTGGGGGCTTAGAAAGCCTCTGTCAATAAGAAGTCGGGTTCTGTAATCATTCTCAACCACAGTGAGCCGCACAGCTGACCTAGCAAACCAGGCTCATTAAAGCGGCACCCAGGACAACTCCACATCCCCTCCTACCCAGCCCCTTCCCCACACACCCCCATCCCCCTGCACTGCCTCCCCTCCCCCCACCCACCACCCCAATGCATCCCCCAGTGAAACCCGAAACTTGAACTCTTTGGAAGCTGCTCCTAAAGAGTTTGGGGGTTGTTTGCTTATTCATTTGTTTTAAAAAAGGAGGTTCACAGAGTCCATGGGTATTCTAGACAGTCCAGCCCATCATAGCAACAGAGTTCTAGGTTACGGTCACATCCGTTCTAGGGCAAGTACCTGGAGACAAGCCCTACAGGCAATCAACGCTAACTTACTGCATGGCTGATACCTTCCGTTTTTCCTCTCTGGTGACTGTAGATGTGTTTCAGAGAGTGGCCGGACGAATGCCTCCTCTTCAGGAGCCAACTCTAATAAAATGGGTTCCAGCATTTGATTCCTGGCAAGAAGGCTAGAGAAACACAGCCCAGAACTAAAGTCGGGCTGTAAAAAGCCTAGAGACCGGGAAAGGAACCTTGTGTGGAAATGTGAGCTGCATCTGTTTCCTACCTTCTTAGGTGGAGTTGTTGACTCTATCCCCTTTGCAGACTGGAAGCCTGGGTCCTGCTGGTTAGAAACAGCTAACTGTAAATATGAACAAAGGCAGCGGGGGAAAAGCAGACTATCAGAATTGAGCACCTGGGTTTACTCCAGTATCTCTAGACTGGCTCACTGCAGCAGCACTCTGAGCTTGCCATGTGCCTACAAAAGAGGTAAAGATGCTTTCTGCTGCCCTGGGAGCTATTTCTGATCCCTCTGTACATTCTGTGTCTTGCACAGGCTCTTATACCTCCCTAAGTGACAAGCGAGTGCATCTCTCACAAGACAGCAAAATACCTCTGCATTTTTCTCTTGGCTCGCTCTGAAACTGTCCAAGTTCTAAAGACCCACTGACCAGGAAGAGGTAGGAAGGTGAGTGGAAGCTGGGAAAGGCTGAGTCAAAAGTGGGGAGCCCTAGAATCTGGGGCGCTACAACTCTCCTCCTCCCACCCCCAAACCCCATCTCCCAACCCCCCCATCCCCGCACCTGGGTCCTGAGCATTACTGGGCTCCTTCCAAGCCACCTCTGTGTCCTTAGTTTGTGATGTTTCTCAAAGGCTCCAAGGTTTCTGGCTAGTTCAACAGCTTTCTGAAGGGGTTAAAAAACATCTCAAATTTAAACTGTCAAAGCTGCTTATGGGCTCACTAAGCCAGCGATTGTGAAGGAACCAGGTTTCTGTCAACAATGGGGTATGACTGAGCACCAATTTGGTTTTTGCAAATTCCCCATTTTCTGTGAGGCTAAGAAATGTCGATATATTCAGAGAAAGCAACTAAACATGGAAGAAAATAAAAGCAGAGCCATTTTGTGACACCACCTCATGCCCTAACTCATATCAGTATGGAAGATGAAAAGGGAGATTGCCACAGAGAATTGCGCTAGCGTTATAACCTGAGAACCATGCTGGACAGACTGACATCCATCTGGCTTTCACGTCTTTACCCTGATTCCTTTCAGAAAACTGGACACTGTTCTTCACTATCTGAGCCTCGGTTTCCCTATCTGTAAAAATGGGAGCATCCAGTTTTCTACCTGATAACCTACCGATTGCAACCTATGGGCGGATCAATAATGGAACATTTGAGTGAAGGTGGGCTATCTTCTACCAGAATAAGCTCCGTGCACATGGAAGCTGGTTTCTGTCCAACTGATGCCTCCTCACACCTGTAGTAGAACAGTGTCTGGTGCACAGTGGACACTCAAGAATGTGCACCTAAATTGCCGCCATTGACATTCTGGTCAAGCTTGGTGCTCCTTCTGTTCCTGTCTGCCATCTTTGATCGGTCCCAACAACTGCCATGCTGTGCATGCAAGAACTCCAATACCCACCCTTCATCCCCCATGACATCTGCCTCAACAAAGCCCGCATTCCCAGGTCTTAGCTCCTAAACGAACTTACTTGCTTCATAAGCTGCTCCCTGACCCTGCCTTTTCTCGTTACTTTTACTCCTCGTTACCCGTCTTGCTGTGACGGAATACCTGACAGAAGCAATTTGAGAAAGAGGGGTCATATTTTGCCTCATGGTTGGAGGGCGATTTTAAATCCCGTCAAGTTGACAATCAAGACCAGCCATCACACAACCATTCTGTTGGTCACTGTCAAATCATTCTTTCCCAACAATTACCTTACATTTTGAAGTCTCTTCAGAGCCAGGAGCGGGTCTTATGTATACGCCATACTCTATGTATGGCACACAATAGGTCATATTTATATGCCACACCCTATGTACAGCACACATACTTAGGTGCCTGGGAGTTGTGAGAAGTGTTGCTTTAACATGTTCAGTTCTTTATAACTCACCTGAGTTTACAAATTCAGGAGGTTACTTCCCAAGTTTACAAATGTAGAAGGTCACGTCAATCCTGTCAGTTCCAGCTGATAGCCCTTTAAGAATTCCCCCCCCCCCAAACTTCTAGGTAGACTCAGATGCAAAAGTCAAAGTTGAGGTGTCTAAATGCAGCACGAAGTATTGGCGCCCGCCTTTTTATTCCTCCTGTTCATCTCCTCCTGCCTTGGAGATGTATCTTAGGGATACAGCTCAGGGATAGAGCACTTGTGAAGAATATTCAATAGCATGGGTTCAATGCCTCAGCTCTACAGAAGGAAGAATATGCCTGTCTCCTATTTAGACTATTGATGGCTGTTCTTCACACCCTTGGCACATCTACTCCCTTCCACGTATCCAACTTAAACCAATCTGCCAATGCCACTTTTCCTTCAAGGGCTCTGTAAATGTCAGCATGCAAAGAGGGACATTCTCTGCCCTCCTGCAGGTCTGACTCAGACATAAGCACTACCTGACATCCCTTCATTTCACACAGAATGTACCAGGTACCTGTAATATATTGACATTGTCTTCCCGTAATTGTGCCTTCTCTGCTACATTATATTGGGAACTCTTTGGAAGAGGAAACCAGGAATGTATTCAAATGGTCCACACACATGGCACATGCATGTCAAACAACTGATCAAAGAGACTGTGGTTCGTTTCATGCCTCCATGATGTTGCACACATTGTTATATTCGTCTACGATGCCTTTTTTCTGCTCCCATTGCTTCCATCTGTCAGGCAAAAGGAGTCTCGCCTGGCCTGCCTTGGAGTCCTCTCTATACTCGCTCTTAATCTCCTGGGCTTCTTACATGTACTATTTGCTGAGTAACTCACCCTGAAGAGCACTGATGGCCATACTCTGCGGTATATGCAACATTTCATGTTCCTCACTGGCAAAGCATTGGAGAGCTCTATGCAGGTGCTGTAGTCAGTGCAATAGCAAATATAACTCTGAACTTTCAGTGCACATTTCCATCACTAATACCTTAGGCATCTGACATGAGCTCCCATCTTGCTACCCTCACAGCATCCATGTGAGGTCGCTATGGAACATCTCCGCATTGTGGCTGAAATAACAGGCTGCTGTTCCATTCTCACGTTGCTACAGCCCCATGGTATTTGGTCCACATCTACCATGTTTTGAATACTTCAAATGGCATTTAGGAATCTTTTTTAAAAAGAGAGAGAGCTGAGATGTTTAGTTATGATACAAATTGGGAAAAGTTATGGTGGCCGAGAGAAGAGAGGCTGTGGAGAGCCCAGTGGTTAAGTCCAAGTGACTTGACTCCAATTTTGGCTCCTTCTCTTTCTGGTTGAGTGGCCTCAGGCACATTATTTTCTGTTTCTAATTCCTATTTTCTGCACCTACCACATGATAATAGAGGATCTTAATTCACAGCATCATAAAGGCATGGTGCACAGTATTAGTGTGTGATAGACCTATGTATGTCAATAAATGCCATTAGTAAGTTCTATGTCAAAGTACCAGAAATAGGCCAATGAGTTTATATATCTTAAAAAATATCAAATTCTGAAAACTACTTAACGGTGAACGTATCTTTACAAAGGTAGAATCCTGAAGAATGCCCCCCAGTGGCTGGCTCAGGAAGGGTAATGCGTTCCTTTAGCTGGCATAGCTTCACTATCACCAAGTCAGAGGCACCAATCTTGTTCCATGTTTGGAAAGGATTATTATTATTAACAGGCAGGTTAATGTATTGAGGCCACACATCTTCAATTTTTATTAGATTTTTTTCCTTTTACTCTTGGTGATTTCTCTATAAAACTGTGGACAAAGTAAAAACTTTGCATGTAAGAGTTGGTAAATAGAATATGTATAGATTTGTCTTACCAGTGAACACACCAATGGCCTCGATACCAGATTTGCCTGCCTATAATAAATAACTACTGTCAAAAAGCTGGACAAAGTGGAGAACAAACAGGGCTGAACTGTGTTGTCAGAGAAAGAATGCACATATTAGGAGGCTCCTGCAGCAGACTGTGCGTTCTGTCTGTAAGCAGAAGGAGAAGAGGTCCAAACGAAGCACAGAAGTCCTGATGCACTGGAGGCCGAGATCAAAATCTGAGCAGGTCCAGACAGCCAGGAGTACAGAAGGGAGCAAGACTCCTGAAACATCATCCACCTGCAACCTCTTTTTGTTCAAGACATTTTTATAAAACCCTAGATACACAGCTATCATAAAATAAGCACGCAAATCAAATGTTTGCTGGTAATAAATCATAAAGAAATTTATTTTTTAAATCCCTATACCTATAATTTTACTTATTAAATATTAAGGTAAATTTGCATGCCAATGAAATGATTGTGCTGTTTATTTTTACACAGAGAATTAAATCTTGATGATGGATTTGATGATACAGGATGGAGAGCATCTTTGGTGTTTTTCAGAGTTGATGGGTACTTTGATTTTATTGTTAAATTGTTATTGATGATAATGTCCTATCACATGAATACCTGATACAAAAATGGCAGGAGTTTTGGGCTACCTTCAGAAATTGCTGGGAATTCTGAGTTCTAACAAAACTTTAAAGAAGGAAAAATACTGTTCTCACAATCTTTTTAAAGAAAAATGAGCATTTGCCACTACATCTTCTAGGATAATGCTAGGCTACCAAAACCAAATGACAAAACTTCAAATCAACACCCTACATAAATACGAATACAAAAGCATTAAATGCACATTAGCAAATTAAGCTTAGCAATGCCTAAAAAAGATAATGGACTGTGATCAAACACTGTTTACAGCAAGAATGCGATGATTAGTTTAACATCAAAAGATCAACTACTGGTACTCACCAGAACCACAAAACACAGGAGAAAATGATATGATTGCTTTAATGTATGTAAGAGAAATGAATTTGGCTTATCACAACATGCTAGACCAAATGTGCGTCATCAGTTTATTTATATGCAGAACCAATGAAAATGAGAGGACATTAGAAATACCATGACTGCAATAGTATCCAACTCATCAAGTAATTGGGGATAAGTATAAAAACACATGTGAGACCTGTACATTAACAACTACAATGCAAAAGACTCAGCTACTAACATGGACCATGTTTGTAGATTGAAAAACTAAATGCTAAAATAAAAGACCCTTCTCAAACTAATCTCCATGATCAATATAATTTAATTCAAAATATGAATTATTGGTGGGCTCAACAAATATTAAAAATTTTTGAATTTTATTTTATGTGTGAGTAGTTGTATGTTTGTGTATGTACCACGGGCTTACATGGTATATGAGGAGGCCAGAAGAAGGTGTCAGATCACCTGGAACTGGAAGTACAGATGGTTGTGGGCCTTGGAAACTGAACCTGGGTTCTCTGAAAGAGCAACAAGTGATCTTAAATGCTGAACCATCTCTCCAGCCCCTTGACAATCAAATTTAACTATCCACATGGAAATGCAAAGGACTTTTAATATAGCCACATCATTCTGACAAAGAGCAATGATGGAGGACTCTGCCGTCTGATCTTCCATTCACTAGACAGCTTACTAAACAGCAGGTCATGGTGTTGGTGTGCAGACAGTGATCCAAATCAGGGGAGAATTTAGGATCCCCCCACATGTGGTCAGGTCAGTTGAGCTTCAGCATTTCAGAAAGTTAAACAGACAATTGAACTGCCAAGGAGTAAAGACCGGAAAATCATTTCAAACCACGGTGCTAGAATCACTGGTTCCTAGGAGAGACAACTATAAATCTCAACTTCCACTCCACACCACACATAGAAGGCAACTCAAGATGGGTCATGGTTTTTGACCCAAAGTTTACAGCTACAGAACCCCTGGAAGAAGAAAACTTACCCAAAGGATAAAAATTCCATTCAAACTGAAATCTTCTGTTCTGTCCCTTGAAAGACACTGTTAATAAAATAAGAAAGGAAAGCTGTAAATCAGAATGGAGATGGGGGGGGGCAAAGTTTGGGGTTTTTGTTTTTGTTTATTTTAAGATTTGTACCCAAAGTAAAAACCTTTTATGTGTTGGGGATGAGGGAGGAAAGAGAGAAGGAGGAGGAGCAGGAGGAGGAGGAAGATGAGGAAAGAAGCAGTAGAAGCCAACACCCAGGAAATGAGGATCCCCTCAGTAGTAAACGTGGAAATAAAAGGTATTTGCACAATGAGCCACTGCTGCATACATGCTGAGTCATGGTGAGTATACAGGGCCCCAGGAATGCGTATTCCTTCCTTATAGGAGGGTAGACTGGAACTTTCGGAAAGCGTGTGGTGGCGTCTAATAAAGTTAAGGACACATTCTCTTACCTTAAGATCTAACAGTGCCACGCTTGCACCTTTACCCCAGAATGAAAGGTGTGTCTACATAGGGTCTCATGAAGAAATGTGTAATACTGACTCAACAGCTCCCAACTGGAGAGAAACCAAACATCTCTCCATGGGTGGGTGGTCGTGGGCAATCTCCACAATTAATTATTTTTAGTACTAAAGAGAACAGCTTCAATATTTTACTTCCTAAGTAAATCTCAAAATCGTGATGCTGAGTAGAAATAGGCCCCACACAAGTGATACTAACTGTATGATGCCATTTACATGAAATTTTACAGCACCCAGCACAATAGTAATGATTGTACTCACAAAATGACAGCACCCAGACCAGTGGACACTGGTGGCTTTTAGAGGGGTATGGTAGGCGATAGGAATGGTCGTGTCTCAGTTTTGTAGTGTTTGTTAGAGCACACACATTTATCAAAGTTCATCAAAATATACATTTAAGTGAGTTCTTTGCCAGTATGTGCATGTGTGTGCAAGTGCACATGTATGTGTACACATGTACATGTGGAAGTCACAGATCCATTTCCCATGTCTTCTTCAATCATTCTGTCTTTTTGTTTTGTTTTGTTTTGCTTTTGGGCTTTTCTGAGACAAGCTTTCTCTATGAAGCCCTGGTTGTCCTAGAACTCACTAGGTAGACCAGGTTAGCCTTGAACTCACAGAGATCTGCCGGCCTCTGCCTCCTGAGTGCTGGGATTAAAAACATGCACCCCCACAGCCATCCTCTGCCTGGTTTTCATGAGATAAGGTCTCTCACTGAACCTAGAACTCATGACCTAGACTGAATGACCAGCAAGCTCCAGGACTCTCCTCTCTCCTCCCACCCCCACCCTAAGAGCTGTGATTTCAAGCATGCTCCACTGTCCCCAGCTTTTGTACGTGGTCAGTGGTCGTTTTGAGGAATCAAACTCAGGACCTCATGCTTGCGTGGCAAGCGCTTTACCAGATGAGCCATGCTCCCAGCCCTGAGTGAGTTCATTAAATGTTCATTATGTGCGTGCAAATCATATCTCAGTAATATTGACTTTAAATAACCAAGGGGGGGGGGGTGGAAATTGGATTCAAACACTGACTTCGCCTTATTCGACGTTTTTTATGTAGCAATAAATCTTGCTCATCGAAACATTTGGTGGCACATGGTTGGACGGAAGATGTTCTGTTGTTATTCTGACGAACGTTCCCGCATCTACTGCGTGCTAGGCCTCTGTGACCATAATGACAAAGGAGACACTGGGTCTTGTTCTCACTGCAGAGCAATGCTTTATGGGAGACAGTGTGTATTGAGCAGGAGAATGTGCGCTCTTAAGGGGAAAGAATCTGGGCAGCCCTGAGATTCTCTGAAAGGGAGCTTGGCCGAGTCCAAGTAAGAATCGAGGGACTTTGGGAGGTACTTACCCGGTGGAGGGGATGTGTATCACATTACAAAGCCTCTGTGGAAGAGGGAAGGAATTTTCAAGGAACCGAAGGAAATTTAGCGTGCTGGAGCCCTAAGAAAAATGAGTTGAGACAAAGTATGAAAGGCAGGAAACCAGGTCCAGGCCACAGAGGGGCCCTAAGCAGGAGCTGCATGGGCTGAGCCAAGGCTGCCTGAGGAAACTTGCATCTTGTCCTAGGCTGCTGGCAGTGGGGAGGGGCGAGAGGGGTGGCATGGGAAATATAAGCAGTGACAGGAAGCTTCTTCCGGGGTGATAGGGGGTAGGGTACGGGCAGCCACCATGTGTCTGTAATGACAGTCAAACTTCTGCCCTGGACAACTCTGCTCCGAAAAGCATTCTTCACTGGGCATGCAAGACAGGCAAAGAAGTTAACTGAGGGGTGGAGCTAAGGGGCCTATTGAGTCCAACTTGCTGGGGGAGGGGGCACGGAAAGGGGAAGTTCCAGACCACTGTAGCCAGGGGCCTGAAATTTAGGGACTGTAGAGAACAGCCATCAGGATAGAAAGGGTCATTAAAACCTTAGGGAGGATGAGAGGGCAGCAGAGACGGGAGGAAAGGAGGGGACCCAGAACGGGGGGGGGG